GTTTCCTCTGGTCCTCTTTGTGAACACTAGCTCTTGTAACAATGCAGCAGTAGGTTCGCTTTCAAGGGAGAGTGTGAAACTAGATTAGAATAAACAAGCACACTAAATAGGGGTTTTTTTCAAATCCCACACTGACATAAGTGGGGAAACATATATTTTCCTTGATGAAGGCGATTGATTTTACAACACAGTTCACTACGCCAAAAGTAGGCTGAAAAATGTGTAGGCCTTAGCTAACTTCTCACACACAAAAACTTGGGAACTTGAGCAGAAAGGTAAGCAAAAGACGCGGCTGTTAATTTTGACTCTAGTTCAAGGTACGGTAGTCTGTCAAAGCAGCTGTTCTCCTACGAGTACGAAGCGAATAACTAGCTAGAAAAGGTTATCACGCAGGCTATCCCGATATTCCTAAGAAATCCGTTATCAGCCCACAGCGCAGCGGCAGTAACATTTTAGTTGTAGCGGGCCTTGGAGTAACTATTTAATAGTTCCTCCAAGTAGCGGGCCATGTCATGTCGGGGTCATTTTTGGTACTTTTCAGCATACAGTTTTAGGTGCATCCCTGCATTTATGGTAATTATCATTTAATGCACCCAAAGCACGCATTTCTGCCCTTGAGACCCAAAACAAACAACGGACATTGTAACTTGTTTGGTTATTTCGCTGAAGTCGGCAATGCTAAATTGTAAACTGTTTTGGACAAGTGAAGTGTGAATGAAAAAAATCAATATAAAACAAATGACAGGACAAAAATTGTCCAATTTTTGGAACATGAACCACATAAGATTGGTGCAGATACTCAGAAAGGATTATATCTGCGCATATGATAATATGAAGCTGTAATTTTGCAACTTTATCCATCTGGCACACAATTCGCTATGAATAATTCCTCCAAATATAACTTTATGTGTCTAATATATTCCTGAATATTTGCATATTTTCTCTCAAGTGTATCAAAATTAGCCTGAAGTCTCACTATGAAAAAAGTACAAACCGATTTTAGTGCCAGAATACATCTACAATGTAATGCACGAACAGTATCTGTTACATTCTATAAATTCCTTATTTTTCTTAAAACGGTAAGTGTCTAGGTTTTGTAAGTTGACTGAAAAACAGGGATGACTTCTCGTAATTATGCTTATAAGAATAATTCCTAGCTTTCTATTGACACTGAATCAGCACTAGGCTTTTTCAACTTTTATTTTCGTTTCTATAACCATTTTCAATAACTGACAATGTTCGGATTTCTTTATATCCATAAGTGTCCGCGCAGATGTCCGACACAAAAACTAAAAATGAATGTGTTAGCTGCCATTATTTTTATTCCATACTAGAAGTAGAAGTTCATCTCTATAATAACTATTTTAATGAAATGATAACAGAACTAATAATAATAGAAGAAGAAGAAGAAGAAGAAGAAGAAGAAGAAGAAGAAGAAGAAGAAGAAGGAGAAGGAGAAGGAGAAGGAGAAGGAGAAGGAGAAGAAGAAGAAGAAGAAGAAGAAGAAGAAGAAGAACAACAACAACAACAACAAAGTAATCAAGAGCAAGAATGTGCACTAATCCCCCTCCCTTTTTTATCATCTATTAAGGGGCACTAGGTACAGCTGAAGTGAAAATGTTTGTTTGTGCTATAAATTAAGTATACTGGGATTCCCAATAACCAGTATGGGCTAAGAAACAGAAACATACCATTCCAATATGATTCCACGGTCAATTATCTGAATTCTTGAGATGCAATGGGTTCGACAGACCAAAAAACGCGCAAATTCTATGCGGGGATTGTGAAAAAGATTGAATTGATACAGCCTTCATATTTTCACACAGTGTTTCTGTATATACAACCTGCAACGTATTTTCTGTAGTCGCATACTTTTCTTGTAACTGCCCTATTAGTGCAATTTTATATATATATATATATATATATATATATATATATATATATGTGTGTGTGTGTGTGTGTGTGTGTGTGTGTGTGTGTGTGTGTGTGTGTGTGTGTGTGTGTGTGTGTGTGTGTGTCGAAGTCCAACCCCTCGTCCTCGCCGTGGGAGATGGAAACAGGACAAAGTAGGGGATAGCTGGGTCTGGGTGAAGTACTGTGTGACTTTATGTCACTGAGGCGTTACGCTAGCCGTGCAGGCTGACCCGGGTCACCCCGAAACGTTGCTGGCCAACGGGGCTCTGGTGAAACTGCGACTGGCTTAGCAGGCCGGCAGTGGATATTAATATTGCTCAAGAAAATATAAGGAGACACAAACGGACTGATCAAAATGGAAAACGACCTGGCGAGGAAAACGGGCGACGATCAAGAAAAAAGGAAAAAAATTGGGACCTAGTCATTTGCAGCTTAACAAATAAAGAACCTGAGATAGTGGAGTTCATGACCCAGAACAAGATCTCCATCATGGGCATTACAGACATCAGGAAAAAAGGGACAGGTCCAAAAGAGATCCACTCTAACTTTGTCCTCATTTGGAGTGGGGTAAGAAAAGAACAAAGAGCTGAACACGGTGTGGGTTTCATCATACACCCTGACAAAGCAAAGGAAATATTGAATGCAGACTTCATTTCTGAAAGGCTCATTAAAATCAGCATTAGAGAGGGCAAAAAGACCACAAACTACATTCCGGTGTATGCACCGTGTAACGACTCCTACTCAAACGAAGAAAGGGACTCTTTCTTCGAACAACTCTCGGACTTAACTAGCAGCATCCCAGACGAGGAAGACCTTTATGTAATGGGAGACTTCAACGGAAGAGTCGGAGAGAGAAGAACACCGTGGACAAAACGCCTGGGTCCACACATTGACCACAGAACACCATGCAATTATAAAGGCAACCATGTATTGGAACTGTGTGCAGAGCACGACTTATTCATCACCAACACCTTCTTCCTGCACAGAGCCTCTCAGATTTACACCTGGTACAGATCGAACAACATCAGGGTCTCATCTTTAGTTAGTTAGTTAGTAGTATAGGGTTTTACGGCGCTCGCAACTGCGTAAGATCATATGAGCGCGCGAAACACAAGTTGGTTTTGTTCACAACAGTTCGCTGTACAGCTGGCTCGGGTCAGTAGTTAAATCTTAAAATATTTAAAAATCAGTGTAAATATACATATATTTTAAATCTAAAACAATTTTTCTAGTTAACATTAAAAAACATTTATAGTTAACATTAAAAAAATTTAATAGTACAGTTTTACTTTACAATTTGCCATAAAGGCCAATGGCCTTCGTAAAATTCAAAATTTTGCTGGGACCAACGACGGAAAAAATATCTTGCAATTTCTTGCATTTGTAATATTTCCTTCGGATCTCTCCAAAGTCTAGACATTCGGTTAAGATGTGTCTAATGGTAAAATCTGTGTTGCATCCGACACAGAACGGGTTCTCATCTCTTTGTAGGAGGTATTTGTGGGTCAGGGCCGTGTGTCCGATGCGCAATCGAGTAAAAATGACTTCGTCTCTTCTGGAGAGGTCCGA